GAACTCGTTTCTTCTGTTGGCAATTACGAAAATCAGTTCAACCTAAAATGGGGACACAGACCCCCTTCTATCTATGGCACCGCATTCCCGGAAGAAGAAAGGTTGTGTGTGTGTGTGTGTGTGTGTGTGTGTGTGTGTGTGTGTGAAACTACTCTTGAGCGGAGAGCACTGAAGACGCTTGAGCAAGGAGTTGAGAAAAGGAACGTACCCTACATGTGTAGGTAACAAGTTTCCTCTTGGTAGCTGTCTTTCTCCTCCCCTCCCTGACAAAGCTCACTGTTGTGGACCTCATGAGAGAAAACAGCTCCATCTTCGGGCCTAATACAGACAGGAGGACGCTGAGTTCCCATTTCCTGGCTCCCGAGCGAGGTCTGCAAGCCCGGGAGAACACACGGCCTTCTCAGTCGAAGCGCAGACCCCCAGGGGGCTACGCGTCCTCGCTCCGCGGTTGGGGCCCCAATGTCTACTTCCAGGGCAGGGCTGCGTGTTCACACGGGCCGTGCTCGGTCAGGGGAGTACAGGCGAGGGCAAGGACCATTTGCTCACGAGCCCTGCCCCGCGCCTCCAGCGTGCTCAAGTGACCTCGAGGGACCCTGCGATCCTGTCGGGCCACACAAAGACTAGAGGCAGCCAGACTCCACTTGATGGCAGCTTGACGTCCTAACACTCACTGGCCCCCACGTCAGCCGTTTTAAAAAGATGAACAGGAAAAAGAGAACCACAAGATAGTTGAGATTTGTCCAACCCATCAAAGTCCCCTGGGCCGTCCCGGCAACGGCAGTGCCCCTCTGCTGGGCTTTGACCCTTCTGGGGCAGCTCCGGCTGCTCCAGAGGGAGGTTCAGATGGCCCGATCTTATTTTTAAAGATGTTATTATTAACTTATTTGAGAGAGAGTCAGTGAGGGGAAAAGAGTATGAGGGGAGGGAGGAGCAGAGAGCCCGACGTGGGACTCGGTCGCGGGACCCCAGGATCATAACCTGGGCCGAAGGCAGACGCTCGACCTATGAGCCACCCGACACCCCCACATTAAAAACAAAACCCGATCACCGTTAACCTTGAAATGAGCGTGTTGCTGCCAAAGTCAGGTGTGTGATGGGCGGCAACGGAACTCTGAGGCGTCCGAGGTCCTCATCCCAGACTCAACGGGGGTTTGGAAAGCGCAGCCCTGAGGAAGCGAGCACGGCTGAAACAGCGCTTCCCGGGGCTGCACGGAACACAGCCCGTGCTCCCTGCCAGGCTCGGGCGCGCCAAATGGCCTGTCGCCTCAGCCGTCCACGTGGAGAGCTCTGAGCGCCGAGTGCAATGCCGGACAGCGTGTTCATGCCACCGAGACTCCCACTTTGTGCGGCGCTAACGTGCTGACCGGAAACCCCAGCTGGGCTGGGATTCCCTGGGCCGGTGCCGCCTGACGTGACGGGCGCCCAGCAGCCCCCAGGCCTGCACCTGTCCAGCTGGGCGATGCCTGGGGCCTTCGCAGCGTGCCCCCTGAGGCCAGAAATCGGGGGCTGCGGTTCTTCCTCCCTAGACCCCTCCCGTCCCTTCGCCCGTGACCCTGCTCTTTGTAAAAGGTTCTCGGACAGTCGGGAGGGATCCCCACTGCTGCTATCAACAGCGCCGGAGGTTGGCTGTGGCGAATGTGTTTCCAACGCGGCAGGGCCCCCGGGAGGCTCTCTGGAACCCTTTAGAAGTAGCCAAAAGTGCCGCTTTTTTTTCTTCCAGAATCCTGTGTGGGCTGCAGGGGGAGACCCAGAGTGTTCTGCGGAAACTGTGCCCGCGTCTGAGCAGCACAGCACGGTCTCTAGCCGGACGTGTGCGTGAGGCACCGCCCTGCGGACCGGGGCCAGGCTCCGTCTGCTCTCCGCGCGACAGGCCAGTAAGCCCAGAGGCGGGTGGTGAGGGAAGGAAAGCGACTTCATCCAGAAACCCAGCAGGCCAAGATGGCGGCCTGTCCTCCTAAAGAGCCACATGGCCTCGCACAAACACAGCTTCTTTTATGCTGGGACAAGGGGATGCCAACCAGTGCAGCCACTCAGGAAAACCATGTGGAGGTTCCTCAGAAAGTTAAAAATAGAGCTTCCCTATGACCCAGCAGGTGCACTACTGGGTAGTTACCCCAAAGATACAGACGTAGTGAAAAGAAGGGGCACCTGCACCCCAGTGTTCATCGCAGCAATGGCCACAATAGTCAACCTGTGGAAAGAGCAGAGATGCCCCTCAGCAGACGAATGGATCAAGATGTGGTCCAGGGACGCCCGGGTGGCTCAGTTGGTTGGGCACCTGCCTTTGGCTCAGGTCATGATCCCGGAATCCCGGCATTGAGTCCCGCATCGGGCTCCCAGCTCTGCAGGGAGTCTGCTTCTCCCTCTGACCTTCTCCCTGCTCATGCTCTCACTGTCTCTCTCTCAAATAAATAAATAAAATCTTTAAAAAAAAGAAGAAGAAGAAGAAGACGTGGTCCATATATACAATGAAGTATACTCAGCCGTCAGAAAGGATGAATACCCAACTTTTGCACCGACATGGACGGGACCCGAGGAGATTATGCTGAGTGAAATTAGTCAAGCAGAGTCAGTTATCATATGGTTTTGCTCATACGTGGAACGTAAAGAATAGTGCGGAGGACCATAGGGGGACGGAGAGAAAACAGATGGGAAGAAGTCAGAGAGGGAGACAAACCATGAGAGACTCTCGACTCTGGGAAACAAACTGAGGGTTTCAGAAGGGAGGAGGGTGGGGGGAGGGGGTCAGCGGGGGATGGGCACGAAGGGCGGCACGTGTTGTGATGAGCACTGGGTGTTACACACAGCTGATGAATCACCGAACGCCACGTCTGAAATAACGATGTTCTACTTGTTGGCTAATTGAGTTGACATAAAATAAGGAGACAGACGAGGAAGGGGAGGGGCTGGAGTTCACAGGGGACTGATGGCTGCCGGCCTCCCAGAGCCAGGAAGGTCGGGAGGACGGTGAAGCTTCTCTGTCCTGGTCGCTGCATCTGCGCGGTGAGGCGCCGGCCGTGAGTGTCCTGTGACCCGTGGACACAGCGACCTCCGCACATGCTTCCGTATGTCCTTGGGGGAGTGTGGGTTTCGGGGCGGTTTGCCTGAGTCTCAGCCCTCAGCCAGGCTCCTTCGGTGACGGTGTGCGAACGTGCAGAGCTGAGCGGAAGTTTCCGAGCTGCGGGTCACAGCTGCGAGAGAGGTGGGAGCGACACGGGGAACAGCGTCCTGCGTGTATCCTGCGCAGTAGGGTTTGCGGCGTGTTAAGGTGTCAGAGTTGGCCGGTTTTTCTGGTCAATTTTATTTCAATTTCCTGCCACTGCCAGTTTTCACCGTCTCGAGAGTGTGTGCAGGAACCCAAGACGTTGAGCACCTGGGATGTTTGTATCATTATTCACGCCACAGGGGACGCCCCGCAGCTGTCACCCTAAATCCTTCCAAGCGCCCCTGGGAGAGACCTTACGCGCGCGTAAACGTGTCACGCGATGTGTGCGCCCGCCTCATCTCTCAACATTCCTCTTCTGTCTCATCTTTACTGGAAAAAACTGACGTCAGGATCTCAGTAGAACCGATGGGATGACGTCCAGTCCGGCAGACTCGCCAAGTTTCCAAGCCCCAGAGTTGTTGACAAAAAAAAATTTTTAAGTAAAACCTTCTAGAGAAATGAAAGTCTGAACCGCGGCACGGTCTGCAGGCTTCCCTGCCCCACTGCCCGAGCGGCTCTCCGGGTTGGGAGCCTGGAACGGACGCTCTGCCGGGATGCGGGACTGAGGTCAGACACTCACAGCCCCCACGTCCCTGGCTTCCAAGGCACCAGCCAGCTTGTCTTTGGTTTCTCAGAAGAAAAAGGTGGTGCTGTGTGCGGCGTCCGGAGGCACTGACTGGAGCCAAGAGAACAGGCCTGAGCGCGCTGCCAGGCTTGGTGGCCTTCCGTTCTCAGCTGCGCCTCGAAGAGGACAGAGAAGGCGGCTGCACATCCAGGGGAGGCGGGAGGAAGGAGGGACTGTCGTGGGTGTCACCCCCCCCCGAGCCTGTAACCAGTCGGAACGGGCACCACCCTGCTTCCCGCCATCCCTCCTCTGCGTCCCTCTGACGGTGCAGCTTGGGAAGTTTCCGAAAATAGGCAAAGAGGGATGTCACTGTGCGCAGGAGGGTGGTTATTCCAGAAACAGAATGAAAAATAATTCATGGACCAAACGCACTAAGCGGTGGCGATGCCGTGGAGCTGATCCCCGGAGGCGTCTGGCTACCGCGTCCATCAAGTGCTGGGGCGCGCTTCAGGCCCCCCCTGCGCAACCCCCTTCCTTCTTCAGCCACAGTTTCTATTCCTTCTGTTCTTTCTTTAAAAGGAAACTGTCGGGGCGCCTGGTGGCTCAGTGGGTCAAGCCTCTGCCTTCAGCTCAGGTCATGGTCTCAGGGTCCTGGGATCGAGCCCCGCATAGGGCTCTCTGCTCAGCGGGGAGCCTGCCTCCCCCTCTCTCTCTGCCTGCCTCTCTGCCTACTTGTGATCTCTGTCTGTCAGATAAATAAAATCTTAAAAAAAAAATAAAAGAAAACTGTCATCTCCAGAACAGAACTGTTTCCAGACCACAAAATTGTGTACAGAGAACAGTTGGCTGATACCTGGGTATTCGCAGAGAAACGTGTCTGCTGTGTGTGGCCACATGTGTCCGCTGGCTGAAGGGAGACCCCAGAGAAACTCCCGCAGCGGAACCCCTGACCCTGGTGCCCGACTCTAAGAAAAACCCGAGGATACCTCGGTTCTGCCGGATGAAACGCAGTGTCCCTTGCCACACTCCCCGCTTCTCCACCCTGAGGCTGAAGGAGCATGAATGGAGGACGGGGGGGATGTGACCTGTAGTGGCCTCTGCAGAGCCCAAGGAGGGACACCAGCATGGCAGCTGGCAGCCCTCGAAGGGCATTCGGCGCCTGCCGTCCCCTTGTGTGGCCCCTGGGGACGCCGGCCTGTGCACTCATCTAACTCCCGCCTCTCCTTGCAGACGATCACTCCAGGATCCTGCTGAGACCCGAGAACAGCCACAGCAACTCCGACTACATCAACGCCAGCCCCATCGTGAGTACCTGCCTGGGGCCCACCTGTCCTCAGTCGTGAGCCCCGTCGTGTCCACCGGGCGACTAGTCAACTAGGTGGTTTGTCTTGAGCGGGTGGCCTGCCTCAACTCGTGACTAGGGAGCTAGGTGGTCTCAGCCAGGCACTGGGCTCAACCACGTGACTCGTGAACCCCGTAATTAGTATTTGCCAGGCAACTAGGCTCCGCCTGGCCGTTAATCCTAACCAGGTGAGTCCTCTCAACCAGCCGGCCTGGGTTGGGTCCTCCCCAGGCGAGAGCAGTCCTGGGTCCCCTGGCTTGGGGGGCCCAGCAAGAGCGGCCGCTGGTTTTCTGACGGGAACCCACGGCTTTCAGGAAAATCTGGGGCGTTTCTCCTTTCCAGACCCACTTGTTCCCTGTGTGTTCAGGGGAGCGGAAACAATCAGCCCCCAGCCCTGCCCTCGTGGAAAAGCTGGCGGCACCGAGGCAGACGCGCAGGCTGGTCCCTGCGGCTGTTTCCAGGTGCACCCCCCTAAGACAAGCAGCGAGCCGTGCGCTTGGGAAGTTCCTGCGAGCAGAACCCCTGGGGAACCCCGTGACCCACAGCACCCAGCTCCCAGAGGATCCCCCACAGCCCACGCCTGCGTGAGCCCCGAGGGAGAGCGGCGGGAGGGGAGTTGGAGCAGCCGGAGAGTGACGGGTCAGAGGCCAGCCTGCACGGTGCTCAGCCTGGCTTCCCAGGGTGAAGTTCGAGTGATCTAAGTGGGAGGCCGGTGAACCGCGCCTCCGCGGCGGGAGTGTTGGGCAGCGTGGCTGATGGCAGGGATTGGGAGCGAGCGGGGATTTCGGGGGACATTGGGTTGGTCACCAGGGAGGCGTCAGGACGTCTCAGTAAAGCCTCAGATTGCGTTCCGGGGAGCAGTGCGCATAGCGTCCCAGCTCGGGGGGCTTGCCGGTGACCTGTGGGTGGCCGAGGGAGGCGGTGACTCGTCGGTGTTCAGGACACACCCCGAGGCGTCCTGACAAAACCTTGCGTTCGGGCAGTAGCTTTCCCTGAGGACGTTTGCCCTCTGATTTCAGAACCTTCTAGTAGCTGCTGGTTCAATGTGTCTCCGGGGCGCCCGGTGTACAAGTGTACTCCTAGGAGCCCAGGGTGCCGTGGGTCAGAGCCCGCACCCTGGCCCTCACAGTGCACAGCGGGAGCACAGGGTAGCGTCCTCACCGCGAGAAAGCGGGTTAAGGGCTGGTCCGCTGCTCCGTCTCCTCCCTCTGAGCCCAGACCTCTGCTCCCGCGGTTGCTGGTAAGGCGTGGCTGTTTCCACCAGTGCAGGGAGGCCGCGAGGACTGGCCCCACCCGTGTCTTCAAGGTTCCCATCCTGAGCCAGTCTCTCTCAAAAAATGCCCCACTGGGCTCAGTAGTTTCTGTCGATGCTGATTCAGAACCAAGCCAAAGCCTCACGGGTGTGCAGCCTCTCCTGCAGGTAGAACAGGGTTTCTGGGAGGGAGGCCGTGGCGAGGGCCTGGACATGGTCCCCCGCGGCGGGCCACGGGGCCGGCAGCGCAGATCTGCCTGGAGCACCATGTCCTCCTGCTGGGCTCCTCGTCCTGAGCGTGAACCATGTGACTGGGCCGGGAAGAGAGCTGAGCTGTTATTTTCAAGCTAAAAGGTGAGCGTTCAGAGTTGGGGGCGCGTCCAGCCTCCCCCCACTGCTGCATCTATTTGACGGGTTCCAACTTCCCACCGTCCGGCTGAAGAGAAGCGTCTGTGCGGAAGCCGTGTCCTCCTTGGACCGGCTGGCGCTCCCACGGGGCCCGAGCTGCTCCCACACCCCACACCTCCATTGTGGGAAACACGGGACAACACCCCCCAACCCTGACCCCACGGGGCCGGGGCTTGGGTCGGGAGGCGAGGCCAGGAGAGAGCGGGGATTTAGGTCATCGTTTATGTTTCCTGTTCATTTCACGCCACAATTCTCTTTTTCCTCATTTGGGTCGTAAGAATGAACCGCGGTACCTTTCTGAAATGACTGGGGGATGGTGTTAACGAGCTTCCCAGCTGCGCTTGAACGGAGAGCTCAGTTGCAGCCCAAGAAGACCCTGGCTGTGCGGAATGAAACTATGGCGGTTACACCCGTCGTGTCGTCCTTAGTCCCACTCAACTCCAGGGAAGTCATCCACATGCCAGCCATGTGCGGTCTTGGCTTTGAGAGCAGGGGTCCTGGAAGTAAATGGGAATTCCATGCTCCCGCCCAGCGCGTGGGGGGGCATGGAGGGTGCCCGGCTCTTCCCGAGGATGCGGACTGAGGCAGGTCGTTAACACGCCTGCCACTCCATGTGCTTGAAAAACCACACGTCGTGACCAGGGATGGGTCTGAAATTCCCCCCACTCGAAAATAAACTTACTCTTCCTTCCGCTGTGTATGGAGGGAAATAAAGTTGTTGAATGTTTTAATTCAGAACACATTTAACTAATGTGAGGGGCGCATCTGGACCCCTCAGGGAAGGGTGACCGGTACGGTGTCGTGAATATCATAGAAACAGGCCAAATACGGGAGCCGACTCTCTGGTTCTCGGAAAACACACGCAAGCAGCTCTGTGTGTATGTTTTACTTTATAATTTACTTGAATCCCAACTCAGAAGAAAAAAATATGAAAACAGCTTCAGCGCCTAAATCAGCCTCCCTCACATCAACTACGGAAGCGACCGTTTCTCAGTGAATTCCCCTTCAAAGACTGGGTGTCTAGAAAATGGACTTGGAAACTCTGGCTTCATACTCGTTTTGAAGAAAATGGTCTGTGAAGTTTGCTCTAAAGTTTAGAAAAAACAGATGTCGGGCAGCCAGGCAGGAATAGAGAAGGAAGACGTGCGTGTTTACGCTCTGAAAGCTCGGGGTGAGAGGCCTGGCCCCGCACTGCTCCCCAGGTTGTGGTCAAGACGAGGGTTGTGCCGGACGGAGCTGGTTGTCCCCGCAGGACGCAGCAGCGGGCAGCCCGCCAGCTTCTCCCCCGAGCTCTCCATGGCTTCAGGACGTGGGTCCCTGGTCTTGGCACGCTCAATGCTTGAGGTTAAAAGTCTGTTTTGTTCGTACTACTGGGGACATTGTTGCCGAGTTTGTAACGCAGGTTAGAGTTTCTGAAAGCCGCTCGCACCCCTTTACTAACTGGCATTGCACAGCCTCGAGCAGTTGGCTAAGACTGCTTTGCGGGGCCTGTGCATTTAGAAATTCGTGGGAACACACGTCTCCGTACCCTGCCGGCCACATGGACAGTGGATTCAACAGAGTCTGTGAGAGCAAAATGGTGGTGTGAGTCATACTTGGGACCTGCACCCCATGGCCCTCGCCTGCTATGCAGTCACTGGGCGTAAGTCCTGTCTGAGTTTGGGGGCCGTTCTGTCTTCTGCAGTCCACGGGGGAGAAGGCCACCGGAGGGCGTGGCACGAACCGCACGGGCTTTGACCAATAGCCTCGAGGTTACCGGCAACACACGCCACAGCGCGCACAGGGGAGTCCGCACTGGATGCACGTGGCTTCCCAGAGCCGCCGGGCCGCGGGGTCATGTGTGCAGCCTCCCCTCTACCCCACCCCGCCTCACGGCCCTGACCGCAGGGCCCAGACAGAGCCGCTGACTTCCTCCTCCGTCCCAGAGCGGACATGTGTGAACATACGTGCGCACGAGTGGAGTGCTCTCTGCCAAGAACAGGGGAGCTCCTCCTGCCTTGGAGATCTTAAATATAAGCTCCTGTTCACTTAGTCAAGTATTTGCTTTACTCTTTTTGGGTTAAAGATTGCACAAAACCGTGAGAAAGCCTCCTGCGGCCTGATACTTGCTGCACATACAAAGCACTTCTGCCCAGAACTATTTTCTCTTCAACAGAATGTGCTCAGAATGAGTAATCCTAATCGTCTGTGAATTCTTGTTAAGCGGTCGGATGGCACGTTCCGCCGCTCTGTGATCGCTACACTGCCTACTGCCTGCCAAGTGGCAGCCGCGTGGCCGTGGCCGAGGGGACGGGGAGACCGTGGGCCTTGTCCACGCCCTCCCCTGCCACGGCGGACCACGGACACCAACTGCAATGGGTCGCCTTGTTTACCCTCCTGAAGCCCTGCTCGGGTTTTCACTTTTAATCACAGATTTTTCAGTTTGAAAGCAACTAAGGGTGCTAGTTTGAACACACTGACGATTTTTAAATGTGGTGCTCTCTAAATTGCTTTGGGCAAAAACCCACATTTGAAAAGGAGGCGGGGTTTTACTTCTCACGCAAAATTGTTTGCTGGAAAGAGACGGGGTTTTTGTACATAGCTGTGGCCCCCAACAAACGCGCGTTCTGAAAACGAGGTCCGGTCTTAATCGGGACTCACAGACCGGAGGCAGAAAAAGCAGTTTCCCGCCCCACCCCCGCCGGCGTCCCACGGCTGTTCTGTGGGACTGACCTGCATCCGCTCTTCCAGGGGCCGCGTAATTCCAAGGTGGGCCCCGCGCCCGCTTGTGCTGACGGCCGTCGTCTCTGGCGGCCCCCGCAGCAGCGTCAACCCCAGCGCGGGGCCGGGTCTTACCGTGGCTGTGGGGTGGACAGCCGACACCTCCGTGGGCTGCCACACGCCCACGTGAGGTTGAAAACGCCTCCTTTTTTCATTGTATTGGGAAATGGATTCTTACTGTCTTTAAACACAGAGGATTTTAAATCTCTCCTTAAACCCTGGTATCAGGAGAGTAAATTCTAGCTCCAGGTGGGAGAGAATCAGGGACGGATGGGAGGATGCCGAGGTGAGGCCCAGTCCGTCCCCCCATGGTGCCATCCATCCAGGGTGCACAGCGGGCCGGGAAGTCCCGGGAGGGAAGGGGCTGTCCATTCGACGACCCTCAGACTGCATTTCCCCCCAGTTTCCTTCTCCAGGCTTTGTTCCTTGGGTCCCTTTCTCCCTGCGCTCTCCTGCTTAGACATCTTTGAATTAAATGTCATAATGAAGGTATTTTCAGCCAGACGCCCTCTGTCGCGACCAGCAGGCTACACTTGGACAGACCACCCAGCCAGAACGCCCCCCACGGCGTATTCTGCCCAGCCCTGGGCCTGGCTCTGTAGGACTGGAATGGGAAACTAGCGGCCGGAAGGCTGGGCTCATCTGCGGCGGAAGGCTCGCACCCCACGCTCGCGGGCCCCCAGTCTGACCCAGGGTGCCGGCACCCCTTTCCGGGTAATGGGAACCCGCGTCCGTGTGAGAGGAGCTAACTTTTCGTGGGAGGCAGGATGCACTCCTCCGTTCATTCTTCCGGGACCCCAAAGGGGGTCTCATGGGTCTGGCCCCTGGCTTCACCTCTCCCAGCCCCACACCTGCAGTTCCCACAGGGGCTTTTTGGCCACACCCCTGCACGTGGCCTGGGGTACGCGTGTGGGCAGCTCACACGGCAGGTGGCCGGGGCCGAGGCTCCTGGCCGGGGTGGAGGCCACGCATGCCGGCCCGTGGCTGGGCGGGTCTAGAACCCTGGCATCCCTGCACACACGGCCACGTGAGCGCCCCCCCGGTCTTCGCCCAGGGCCACGGGGCTCTGCTGAGGTCTAAGCACTGTCGCAATCAGGAGGGACAGCAAGGAAGCCCGGCCTGCTCTTCTCACTCTGCGACCCCAGGGCCGGCGTCCGGCCCGGGACATGCTGCCTTCACCTCCTTAGCCGTGTTCTCTTTCCTGGTTGTATCCTAGGTTTTTGGCTCATCCTTGTTCCTCTAATCTTGTCTCTGCAGATGGATCACGACCCTAGGAATCCCGCCTACATCGCCACCCAGGGACCGCTGCCTGCCACCGTGGCCGACTTCTGGCAGGTGAGTCTGCGGGAGTCAGAACTCTTCTGACGACGAGACCTTGACAGACGGGCCGTGAGTAATGGCTTGGACCCGATTCAGTAAATGTAAACTCGTTTCTGGGTGGCACTCATCCAGTGTTACTTGATGGTTTCTATTTCTATTCTATTTCTATTTTCAATCTTCTGTTTTTCAAAACTCGAGAGATTGAATGCTTTAAAGATCCTAAGTTTTCTAAGCACTTTAAAATTTTATTTCATGAAATAGAAGGAAATGGAATTAATAAGTGTTTAAATTACTGCATTCTGTCCAAATGTGTCCTTGTCCATGGTTCTCTCCCTCTGGAGGTAAATAACAGCTCCTCTTCCTTGGAGACCCTCTGTCCTGCATTTTAAGGGCCAGGCTAGTCTGTTCCATCCAGCAGAGTCCTGGACGCCCAGACGGAGGCTCAGCCGCTGAGAGCCGGCATGAGCACGAGCCCCAGAGGGCAGAGAGGAGAGTGAGGGGCCTCCCCTCCTTCCCCCCATGTCCTGTTCCAGCCTCTGCTGTGCCACAGAGCTAAGGGGGAAGGGGCTTTGCAAGGTGGCACGGTCACACCAACTCCCCTGTGCGTCAGGCACGCAGCTGTCCCCAGCCCTGGCAGGGGCATCCAACCGCCCGGCCGAGCCCGTGGAGGACAGAGGTGAGAGGGCGAGCAGACGGAGCACCTGGGAGGGCGGCAAGCCCCCATCCCTGGCAGCGTGGCCGTGCGCTCAGACGGGGTTACCGTAGACCCCTGCTGGTGATGCCAGCGTCCACCGTCGCAGTTCTAAGAGCAAAGGCCTCCCCGGCTGACGGGCTCCACGCTTCTGTTCCCCAGAGTCTCTCGTTCTGCTCCCCAATGTGCCGTCGGCCCCCTGCGGCCTCCCCACCTGCAACAGGGTGCATCCCCGGGGCAGGGGGCTCTGGAGAACTTGGGGGAGGGTCTGGACCGCGCCCCCTGCCTTCTCAGCATGTCGATCCCGGGTACCCTAGCTTACTGCAGCCGCCACGTGGAAACAAGATCAGAACGTGTCTGTGCAGCCCGGGCTGTGCCTCGCAGCCGTCATGCTGCTGAAGAAAATAAACCAACGGAGCCTCAGGGTTCTGTTGTCCAAACCTGTAACCGTGGCGCAGAGCCGCTAAACTCACATTAGGATGGTGGGAGGACCAGCGGGTCCCCAGCCACGAGAGGCCGACATTCCCCCATGTCACACCTAGAGAGGCCATGCAGCCTGCGTGGGGTGCCTCCCTGCTCAGGGAGCTCAGCACCCATGGGCCACCTGGTCCTGGGACACCTGCTCTGGGGGACCTTCGTGCAGAGGCTCAGCTGAGGCTCACGGGAGCCCACGATCATCGCTCTGCTCGTAGAACATCACCGACGCGCCGCTGCCGTCCTGTTCCAGCCGCCTCCCTGGCTTCCAATGCTCAGGAGGAGGGACAGAGAACATTCCAAGTTGTGCGCCGGGAGGACGGAGTCCTCAATCTTGACCCACCATCCGCTTCTAACAACCGTGAGGTGCCGGCCATTTCTTCCCACGTGCGAGGCTTCTGGAAGGCACAAGGACACTCCAGCGGTAAAAGCCGGCACGTCCACAGCCACTTGCCGTGGACCGGGTCCCGTCCAGAAGGTTGTGTGTGCGTTGAAACAATCTTTGCCGTCATAAAACGACGAGGCCTCCACTTTGCCCAGGTCACGTGGCTTGTGGACTCGAGCACTGTGGTGTTTCTCTTGCCCCGTGTTCCAGACGGACGTAGTTGTCAGGGTGGCCCACGTCATGTCACCAGGGTCTGCAGGGTGTGGGTCGCTCTCCAGAGTGTCTGTAGGTCTGACATTCAGGAACGGAAGAAGCCGTCTTAAAATTCCGAGGCTTTCTCGGGAATTTTTTTTTTTTTTAAGATTTTATTTATTTATTTGTCAGAGAGAGAGAGGGAGAGAGAGCGAGCACAGGCAGACAGAATGGCAGGCAGAGGCAGAGGGAGAAGCAGGTTCCCTGACGAGCAAGGAGCCCGATGTGGGACTCGATCCCAGGACGCTGGGATCATGACCTGAGCCGAAGGCAGCTGCTTAACCCACTGAGCCACCCAGGTGTCCTGGAAGAAGCCGTCTTAAATGCGGCAACGGGAGAAACAGGACCACGGGCGGGATCGCAGCCCTAGTCACGCTGCTCAGAACACGCCAGTGTCCCTCCAAACGGTAGCAGGTATCCTGGGACAAGAAGGCTCTGCAGGTGACCGGCTCACGCTCTGGGATTATTGTACACGACAGCACGCCGAAGCCGCTGAGAAGTCTGTCGTGAAGAAACTGGTTCGACTCCAGACGCCCTGGGCCAGACACCATGGTCACGGGGAAGGCGGGGGCACAGCTTCTCCGAGGCTGCCGTGACTTAACAGAGTAGCACAGAGAAGCCCTGACACCAGGCGTGGGCAGGACCGCTTCCACCCAGAGCCTCTGCGGGGGGCCTGCTCTTGTCTCTGTCTCCAGCTTCTGGTCGTGGCCAGCACGGCGGGGGGTCCCCTGGCCCATGGACGCATCGCTCCCCCTGCCTCCATCCCTGGAGTGAGCCCCCACAGGGTATCTGTGTTTCTGGCTCAAATTCTGCTCCTCTTCCAAGGTCGCTGGTCATTAGACTAAGGGTCCGTTCTGGCCAGCGTGCCTCGTCTTGAACGCACCTGCAGAGGCCTTATTTCCAAAGAAGGTCACGTCCGCAGGTTCCAGGTGTGCGTGACCTTTGGGGGACACTATTCCACGCATTACTGAGAGGAGAGCACTGACTGAGACAGAACACTTTGCTGCTGAGACAGACGTGTGGCCACCACGGGAATCCAGAGAGAGGCCGCCGGGCAGCAGGGGCGGGGGAGGTCGTCAGCGAGGGGGCCCAAGCCAGGCCCAGCATGTCCAGAACGCGCAAGTCCCCAGGACCGCTCAGTTAACTTGCAAGGGGGAGCGGACGGTCCCACAGCCTGTGACAGCCCACAGGCCCTGGGAAGCTTGGGCGTTGACGAGCCGTATGGGGAGGGAACGTCGGGACAGGAGGGCAGAGGAGAAGGAGGAGGCGGGAGAGGCCAGCCGTCTGTTGGTTCGAGCACTGAGGCGGGAACACACGTTCTGAGCTGGGAGGGTGTCTGCCGCTGTGCGGTGTGGCCCGCGTGGCTCCTTCGAGAGAAAGACGTATGCACAGGGGCCTCTGGAGTCCAAGGGAATGGAAGGAAAGGAGCAGGAAGAGAGGGAAATCCCACTGCAAACTCACTGTGTGCCTGACCCTGGGGGGGGGGGGCTGCGGCCAGCCACCTTCGCCAACGCCCCTGACGACCGAGGGTGAACCTGAGACCCCGGGGGCCCCCGTACGAGGGCTGCGGAGAGTCCGATCGGGAGACAGGAAGCAGAGGGTGGGCGCCAGGGGAGCGGGGCCGAGCTAGTGTTTAACGGGGACAGTTTGGGTTCGGGAAGACGGAACGTTCTGGGATGGATGGTGGCAATGAGAGTTCTTAATGCTGCTTAAGTCTGCTTGTAAAAACGGCAGAGAAGGTACATCCTAGGTTTATTTGACTGCAGTGGGAGAAGATCGTGGTCCCCGTTCTACCAGAAGGCTGGCGCCCAGGGGCCCTAACGACTTCCCCGAGTCCACACAGCCAGCTGGAGGCAGGGCACGATTCAGACCCGGATCTCCAGATCTCAGGATTTTGCTGCCCACACTCCGCAGGGAAGACGGCGCCGTGCTGGGGGAGGCGCTGCTCCTGGGCCCGTCCCCTTGCAGAAATGCAAGGCAGGCAGCCTCCCGGCGGAGACGGTGGTTGTTCGCACAGCTAACATGTTGCTGCCGACGAAGGTGCCGTGTCGCTGTCTCTCGAGGCCCAGAGCATGTCAGGGCTGCGGGCAGTGAGCTCCGTGCCCCCGAGGCGTCCTGCGGCCCGCGGGCTGAGCTCCACGCCAGCCGTCTCCAGAGGAGCGTGAGGACAGCTCTCACCCGAGGAAGCCTGATCTGAGGAGGCAGGCGACTGTCCTCCCTCCTCTCGTATTACCGGGGAAGCGGCCCGAACCGGGTGCTTTCCACGGTGGCCGCGCTGATGCGTCATCACCAGAAAGTCAAGCCACCCCGTTCACCGAGCTCGGATCCGAGAGCACGACTTGCAGATGGGAGCGGTCGAGTGGGGCACCGGCAGCCCCCCGGCCCCGGGACCTGCGACCTCCTCCACAGGATGCGGACCGGTTGTCACCCACATTCACCACGGGGCGGCTCAGCCGAGAGGACAGCGGCCCGTCCGGCGGACAGACGAGCTCGTTCAGGTGGAGCCAGCAGCCGACAAGCAGGGACGGGCGCGGGGACGGGCGCGGGGACAGGCGCGGGGACGGGCGCAGGGTCCGCAGCCCAGGGCAGAGGGCCCGCCCCGTCGGCGGGGTCCCGCTGGTGCGCAGCGGGCGCGAACAGGACGCTGTTAGCAACGTGTCAGCGAGAAGAAAGTCCTCCCGTCGAGTCCTGTCCCCACTTCCCGAAGGCGCTCCGTTACGGAGCCTGCACCGGGGCTCGCTCTTTCCCAAGAGGCATGGGCTGCGTTTAAATAGCGGGTTTCATGATCGCAGTTCTTGCCATGGTCCCGTGGGAGAGCCCAAGAAGGCAAACGTTCCCTCTCCCAAGCACTCTCCGCTGGGGGTCGGGCGGGGGAGGTGAGAAGGGGACCCGGGAGGAAGAGTCGGACAAAGCCCGAGCGAGCACATGGCAGGTCCCCAGAGCCCGGACATGGCCCGGGACCGAGTCCGTGCGTCTGCCCTGCCCGCGCGGCCCTGGGCCCCTGCCTGGTGGAGAGCAGAGGGAGGGAGGTGGCTGGCGCCTGGGCAGTCCACTCCGGCCACACATGGCCCTGTCAGAGGCATCACCGTCCAAGCCCACAGGAGCCAAGCCAGTGTCCAGAGCAGCCCCAGCCTCCCCCAGCTCCAGGGCCGCCTCGGCCTCCTCGTCCCTCTTCCTCAGGGGACCACATCACACCAGGGCTCAGGTCAGACGTCGGGCTCCTAGCCGTCCTAAGAGGCCCCACCCGAGAGCCTGAGCTTGTCCCCAAAGCCCCGTTGCCATGTGATGCTCGTGATGCGTTGTCTTTGGTCTCCCCCCAGATGCCCTCTGGGTCGTGCGTGAAGGGGTCTCCTGCTTCTGGGTCAGCGAGGAGTTGTGGAAGTGGACATTGGCTCCGGGGCCCCGTTAGCTTAGGGACTGGCTGGTTTTCAAGCACATTGTTGGGTTAAATTAAAGGAAATACAGGAACTGAGTAGAGTTAATTTCTTGGGAAAACCCCTTCAGTCCCACGCCCGGGATGTGCCAGGATGTTTTACCGCAGATAGATCGTCTCACCGGACTTCCTACACACAAGCTCACCACCGCCCCTCAACGTGGGGCTTGAAACCCCTGATCTGCCAAGCGCTTGTGACTCTGCGTAGGGAACGCACAGCGGAGAGCCCTGCGTCCTCTCAGCAGCCTTCGCACTCGGGCAGGCCTCAGTGAGAGACAGATATCCTGAGCGTCTTCTCTCCTTTTTTAAAAAAGATTTATTTATTTGAGAGAGAACAAGATAGCATGAGCAGGGGAAGACGCAGAGGGAGAGCGAGAAGCAGGCTCCCCGCGGAGCAGAGAGCCCTGTGGACACGGGGCTCCATCCCAGGACCCTGAGATCACGACCTGAGCCGAAGGCAGATGCTTCACCAATGGAGCCCCCCAGGCGCCCCCAGGGCCACCTGAGTTCCTTTTTCGGCTGGCATTCCAGACCACAGCTGCAAACATCCTGGTTGTTCGTTTTTAAGTGCGTTCCTGGTTCCCTGTCCCCTCCCTCCGTCCCCCTCCTTACCCACCTCCACCCCGCTTCTCTCCCTCCTTCTCCGGGAGGAAGAGAGCAGCAGCCCGAGCCGGCACGTGCATCTAAGCAGACGACAGACGTCGCTCACGGAAGGTGAGCAAGGCTGAAGGACAGCAGATGATTCCAAGTGGCGACACTCCCTCGGGTCCAGGGAGCGTCCTAGACGTCCAAACACTGTGACGAGAGCCCGTAGGGACTGCACAGGACTGGATGAAGCAGGCGTGCCGGGAAGCATGTCCCCTGGCTCTGGGAAGCCCTGCGTGACCAGGGTTCGCACCCAGCAGCCTCCAGCTAAGTGAGCCGCGCCGTCTTCCTTAGAGAACCTGTACCCCGTTCCAGGGACACGGCAAGGATTTCTCACTGAGATGCCTTCTTCACGCCTGGTGGGAGGGGATTTCAGAGGTAGAGACTGCCGTGTACGGCCTGTGGGATGGCGGCCATGTGACCGGCTTGGGCGCAGGGTGTCGGCACCCAACATCACACCGCCAGCGTGGACGGCGTCTTCATCGCCAAGGGAGGCTCGCACGGACGTTCTTGTATACCAAGCAGCAGGTTGGGTGGGCGCGTTCTGAGCTGTGCGCCTGTCCCCAGGGTGGTTGATGCAGAGCCTGTGACCGCAGGAGCCTGCCGTAGCTCACAGACGTGGCATTCGGAGAGGCCAAGGGCGGGTTGGGGGTCTCGACTGCAGAAAGTGTCCCAGACACTGGTTTTTCCCTTGTGGATGTGTTTCAGACCATGGTAGAGCCAACGGACGCCAGTGAGCCCGTAAGGAGGAAAACGTAAGCGTTACTAAACCTTGTTAACTGACTCCTAAAATGTGAGTCAACTTCCTCTTGGCCAGACTTCAGATATCTCGGCTCAACCTGTGAAAGTCCAGCACAGAAATGAGCTGCACGGTCAGGCCCGTGGGGGCTACAGCGCCCACGAGAAGAGCCGTCCACCTCACGTGCCCACGGCTCCAACACCCGTGCACATGGTTTCCTGCTAAGGAAATGAAAAACCAAAAAGCCTTTCTGGCGTTGAGCAGGTCCTGGGAGAACTCCTTCCAGGCCTGCCTTTGACAGGATTTTCTTTATCTCCTTTTACAGAAATATTCAAGGGGTCTCTTCTAAACACATATGTTCTTTTCAGCCGAGCATCCACGAGAACCAGGCACGGTCCTGGCTGCTGGGGAGAGTGGAGATGGAGTCCAGACCAGCCTCTGGTCTTCTCAGAGATGCTGGGCCGGTGGGAGAAAGACATGAGCACAGAACAAGGATGACAAAGGTAGTAAGGGACACATCACAAGAGATCTAAGTACAGAGGGCAGTTTTATGCCTTGAGGGAGCGGGCGCCTGGCGGAGAATGTGACCTGGGTGTCCTGCGATTTTGGATGGGTCAGCTTTCCTTTAATCAGGTCTCTGTGGGGCTTTCAAAGAGTTTGGTTTGCTGAATAGTTAGTTTTCAAGACAGACTTTGGATGAAGAGACACTGTGGTTTCTTTCCATCTGCTTTAATTAGGCTTGTCTGTGGCCCTGGAGCTGCGGGCACGCTCATCTGCCGCATCATCCTGGAGACGCAGCCTGGGGCGGGCTCCTAGGGACTGGCGGCCAGTGGTGGCACAGGACATTGGGACCGCTCCCAACCCTGCAGCGCACCATTGCCGAAGAAGAGGCCAGCAGGGACCAGATACACCAGAGGCCGCCACTGCCACCGCCTCGGTGCGTGAAGCCACACCATGGAGGCGTCCCGGGTCTGAGTGGCCCCGGAGCATCTGAGCAGAGGCTCTCCAGCAAGTGGGACCCGGTTCCTCTGAGCACAGCCCCGTTTATACTCAGGACTCAGCCCCGAAGGCTCATGTTCCACCCACGTTGGTGGCCTCATCCGGGGTTGGAAGCAGCTGCTTCCCATTTGGGAAAATTCACCAGACGGAGGGAGCTGTGGGCAGGACAGCAGACCCCTGGGGCGCACCGCAGGGCGCTGTGCCCACCCAGCTCTCAGCGGGGACTTCAGTTACGTCACAGCCTCCTGACGTGCTGGGTGTCTTTTGAAGGTGCCCGGTAGACCAGGCGGTGACTGGGCATGTTGCGCTGATACTGGACAGGAAAGTGCTAGAAATCACCATTTCTGGCATCTGCACATCTAGCTCACTCACTCGGCACATGGAGATCCTCGGGGTGGACCGCTGCTTCCCGGAAGAGAGGGATGAGGATGCCCCAGAGAGCGGCCCCGAGGCCCGGGGAAGCCACAGAATCGGAAGCAGAGAAACCGGTCCCTGTTTCTGGTCCCTCCGGTGTCCTGGATCCCGCCGGAACCCGCAGTAACCGTGCAGGTCAGCGGCTGGTGCGAGGCGAGAACAGGGCCGGTGGCCCGCACACGGACTCCCGCCGCCAGCCAGGTGGACACACGGAGCCAGGCCGTCTGTTGGCATGATTTACTCAGTCCCCCTTTCTGCCCACAGGCTCGGTGACCTAGAAAGCAATATGATCCCCGAGAGTGCCTCTAGGATTGATTGTTCAAATTGTTTCATTTGGATTTCATCCCAGCCAGGTCTTCGGAGAGCTGACGGGCTCCTGAACGGAGATGCCTGGCGCGCGGGCCAGTGAGCAGGGCTGCCTGGCCGGGAGGACCCGTCCTCAAACGAGGGGCTTCCTAATGTCACCCTTGGGTGGCAGAAGCCGAGTGTTCAATGATTGGTTTACGGTCTAGATCATTGTATTTTTATTAAACTCATAAAATCTGTGTTTCTCCTTATTTTCATAATGGCTTCAATGAGCTTCTCCGCCTTCTAAAGACACATTAAACGGTTCTGTGCGGGAAGGACCAATTTAGTGGGGCGGGCTGCGACGCCTGCGAGCCGCGAGAGAGACGCACGCCCGGAATTCTCCCCCGTGGCGGGCCGTGCGCTGAGGAAAAGGAAGGCATGTAGGTCTGGGTGAAATTCATATTTATTTGTGGGCTTTTTCATAAACACCAGCAGCTTCCATGAAATTCCAGGATTAATGAGACGCTGGGCCGTGTGGGAAAGGCATCGACCGTTCCCATCACGTGGAAATATAAATCAGTATTCAAAAAGGGGAACACCGTGGACTCGTCCCTTGTAAAATATAACTTAAAGGGGGTTAGTGACGTGAACTAGGGAGGAAACACGTTTTATATCTGAGCTATGTGGATTTTTTTTAAATGACGAGATTCTAATTGGATCGTTCTATCTGTATTTAAAAGAAATAGAAGCTCCCTTAGATACTAAATTTACGTCTGAATGCAGTTGCTTGTAAATATATCTGTGAAGCCCCCGTAACCCACCGCGGGCAAAGCAGACTCGTCTGTGCTCTGTAATTCACCAGGCTGACGTGCTCCGCAGCGCTGCCTCCCCGTGGCCCACGGAACCAGCAGTCTGGGTGACGACGCTGCAGGGTTAACACGCAGGCCCACGGCCACTGGGCTGGGAGCTGGAGAGGAAGCCCCGCGGAGGGCCCGGGGTCTGCCCTCCTCCACGTTTGGGTGTGTGTCCATCCGTTCGCTGTGGCTTGTAACGTGGCTACTGTGAATTGTGTTCGTGGCCCAGCGTGGCCATATTCCGTGGAGGTAAATGAAACCCCATCCACGGCTGTCTATAAGCAGAGTCTGCTTCCCATAGGATGGCAGCTTCACAAAGCAAAACGGTTTTTAGTCATGCAGAATAATGACACCCACGATAACTGTGGCCACGCTGCCTGATGGTACCGTGTGGTAGAAGGTTCCCTCCATAGATCCAAAGCTGGGAGGCCAGACGGCTGAACGTGGGTCTCAAGAGGTTCTAAACGGTGTGGAATGAGCCACTGGTGGTGTGTTTTTCATATTTTGTGGAGCGTGGAAGCTACAGGGCATATTCAGCCCTGTGGCAGGAAGCCAGCCACGGAGGAGGCGTGGCCAAGGAGCGGGCAGTGCTTGTGCGCAAGCCCCCGTGGCCCGTGTCACGGAGCGCAGGGATTGCACGCATCACGCGGGACCCGGCAGTCATGCGGTGGCCGTGGCCTGTCTCTGTCTGCAGATGGTGTGGGAGAGCGGCTGCGTGGTCGTCGTCATGCTGACGCCCCTCTCGGAGAACGGCGTTCGGCAGTGCTACCACTACTGGCCCGACGAAGGCTCCAACCTCTACCACATCTACGAGGTATTCCCACAGAGGACACGAGCGGCCCCGCTGGGAGCAGGGCCCCTCCTCGGGAAGGCGGGCAGGCAGGCATCCCCAGGGCCCCGCAGTCCATGGACCCCCGGACCCTCCAAACAGCTGTGCTATGGTGCCCCGGGCTCTGGCATAAATTCTAAAGCTTTAGGGTTCCAAATTCAGACAGAAGGAACCAAAGACATTTATGTCCCAAGGAGGCCTATGGAGCCAGGCCCTGAGCAATAGACCCTCCTGGGCCTGTTGTAGGAAGAGTCTGCCAGCACAGATTCGAGCCTCCTTCCCTTGCCGGACCCTCTGCCCACATCGACGTTGAACGGTGTCAACTTGGGCAGCTCAGCATGAACCCGCATGAGCCTGTTGTTCAGCATTAAACATCAGTCAAAATGCAGAGTCCCGGGGGGGGGGGGGGGGGGCGTGAGGACCAGCCCTAGCTCAGAGTCCTGGCTTTTAGGCCACTGAGCATGGCCTTGGCCCCGAGAGGCGCCCAGTCCCGCTGTCTGCAGGAACCCCCTGGTCTCCTCTCCACCTCGGGGAGTAGCCACCTGCTGCGAGATTCAGGGTGCAGTGGAACCCACTGGTGTTTCTGTTCCAAAGCATAGATTTTTTGCAGGTTTGGATGGCTTAGAAATACAGAGGATGAAAGCTAGAATCACTTTGGATTGTAACATAACTTTCTAAGCATTTGGCTAATGCACCTGGGCGATATTAAAAACCCACAGTTATCGTTTGCATAAACCCGGTTAAAACAGAGAAGGTAGGAGGGGCCGTCCAGCCTCTGCCGACCCGTGTGCTGTCCCCGCAGCGCTCGCCCTTCGCTGCTCGGAGTGCACGGTGCTCAGACAATGCTTTACGCTCCCGATTCCCCCCCAACCCCCGTCCTCCCGTCCAGGTGAACCTTGTCTCCGAGCACATCTGGTGCGAGGATTTCCTCGTCAGGAGCTTCTACCTGAAGAACCTGCAAACCAACGAGACGCGCACCGTGACCCAGTTCCACTTCCTAAGCTGGTATGACCAGGGAGTGCCTTCCTCCGCGAGGTCCCTCCTGGACTTCCGCAGGTATGACAAACAGCCCTGCAGGCAGGGTGGCGCCGTTGGAGTGCGGGCGTGAGGGAGGGGCGCGGTCCAACACCAGGTTTCCTGCGTCTGAGGGGTCATTGGCTGTACGACGCACCACCTGTACTTACAGATCATAAACGTACAGTCGACCCTTGAACAGCACGGGCTTGGGGCACCAGCCCCCGACACAGTGGAAAATACATGTTTAACTTCTGGCTCCCCCGAAACTTAACTATAATAAGCCTCTGTTGACTGGAAGCCTTGCCAGTGACACAAGTCAGCACATCCTCGTGGGCTAGGTGCGTTGGACCCGGAGGTCCTACAGCACAGTACGCCGGAGAAAAGAAAACATTAGGAAGAAAATCACAAGGAAGAGAAAATACATTTCAGTGCCGTTCTGTATCTATTGAAAAAAAATTCGGGTGTGAGCGGACCAGCACAGCTCAGAGCCGCGCTGTTCCAGGGTCAGCGGTATCTTCTGTATGACACAAGGGAGAGGGGAGGGGAAGGGGGTTCGATGACGGTACGTTGTACCTGCAAGGTGTTTTCTGGGTTTACAGGAGTTAAAACGGGGGGACGTAGCCACGTTAGAATTGTGGAAATGTGGTCATTGTTTCTGATAAGACTCTCCACGTGGTGGAGTCCTGAAGTTCCTGCTTCGCAGGGTATTGATGAGGAAAACGCAGGTTTGTGGTTTGGATGCTCTCTGGTCGGACAGGATAATGAGATGTAACAGACGTGGGCCCAGATCCGGCCTGGGGGACCTTAGACCTTGGGGAGAGCGTGGATGGAATTAGCGCACGACTGTGTGTTCTAGTGCAGTTTGGAAGCCGACAGTCTGGAAACATCCAGTCTTTGCTCAAGCCCCACCGCGGCTGCCCAGGGGGCTGTCTGGCACTAGAGGGTGTTTACTGAGCTGTTGAGATCAATGCCGGACTCCATCTTTCAGGAAGCTATTGACAAGGCAAAAAAGGAGGGAATTCAGGATGGAAGCTTGGCTTGTCCATTGGACTCGTTGGTGACGGGGGCCAGCACTAGCTGTTGCCTGTGGCGGTCAAGAATGAGCAGCCACCCAGCGAGGCAGGCGCTGAGCGACGTGGTGCCCGAGCTCTCGGCTCAGCGGAGCCCTCTCATGCTTAACCAGTTGGAACCCGCCTCACCACAAAAGCAGGCAGACATCCAGAACAACGAACTAGGAAATAAAGTGCACCTTAGCCCAGCGTGGTTCCCCACCCCGGAGGGATTCGTATCCGAGCAGTTACTGTCCTTGAGTCTGTGGCCATGTCACGTGAGACAGTGGGGTTTCAGGCTGATCGCTGCGTTTCTTGAATTTGTGTGTTAGACATTCTTAAGTTTTTTGTGATACTCTTTCTTTTGCCTTTTAGTCTACTTTGAAAAGCAAAACAAAATCTTTATTTGAATAGTTCTTTGGATCAAATAGCGCGGGAAAGAGCTCCCGGAGAGATGGGCACGTGGTGTCCCAGCCGTGGCACACATTTGGTGACCCCGCCCAGAGATACCGAGCGAGCACAGTACAGAGAGTCCTGAACACACCCCAAAGCACGGACTGCACAGTTCCCTCTCAGGCCATCCCTGCGTCCTGGCTAGCAGATAACTTTCCTTAAAGCACGTTTCTTTCTAAAGGCGGGCTACCTAAGAATCTGACCTAGATGCGTTTCCTGAGATAGCATCTTGGGAAGCAGTCATTACTGGGCAAAGGACGTGGCTACAACGAGAGACCAGCTTCGTCTTTATGCTCACCCAGTGTGTTTGCACATACATGCTATGGGCGGACGTGGAAATCCGTATCCCTATATGGAACGGCACATACCCGACCAGCCCTCGGTGCGTACAACCTGCCCCGAGAAACATGGATGCCCCAAGTTCCCTCTCCCCAGAGGCTTGGGAGATAAGGCTCCGGGAGGTTTTTGTTCAGGTGACATGTGCCGGTCTATTAGAATCAAAAGCCTTGGGGTTTTCTGGGTAGAAGAACCTCCAGAAAGTCTGCAATCGGAAAGGGGCATCGGCTTCCGGAGACACTGGTCACCTTATGCACAGGTCCCCCTCCAACCCCTGTCCCCGACCACGTGCCCCGCCTTCCCCCGCTCTTGCCAGGGTGCGTCAGGCACTGAGACGTGTGACTCCACACTTCGGGGTCCAGAGGGAGCACATTCCCACTTTAAAGAGGAGCTACTAAAGCCCGGAGATAATCCGCATCACATGGGAGGGCTTTGCTTTTAAAAGTTCTCTCTCTCCGTCTGTGTCTCTGAGCCTCTCCCTTCTTGCTGTGCGCAGCGGCGTGCGCAGCACTGACCCATAGAAACGGACAGCCCTTCCTTTGCCGGCTCGTGAGCGGCGGCCAGTGTCATTTTTGTGATGCTGCAGCTAGTAATATGAGCCCAGTTGCATAGTCACAAAAGTGATCATTGGAGGCTGTGACTCTGCTGCAAGGCAGTGTGGGGAGCCCCTTTTCTGAGCCTCTAACGACCTCTGACCTGGGCTTGCTGTTGGTGGCATGGCGGCTCCTCCTCACTCAGGGACCCACGGGTTGGTTTGTATCACTAATCGTTCTTTCTCAGGGATTCCTCCTGCTGAAATATATACAATATCCATTTTTCTGAACGTTTGCAACCTTTCGCCGACTGCTGATTTGTTCTAATCGAGTCAAACACGACAGCTGTGTATCGCTTATCTGCACGAACACCCTGCGCCTCTGTCTGGGGTCGACCAGGTGATCGCTTCTGTTGACTGTGTGATGCTGTTACTTTTCTATTTGTGATGTTTTACGTTGTAACAATGCAAGCTTCTGATCCCTTGTAAACAGAACTCTCCACCGGGCAGCACGCCGTAGGCACGCTGGGCTTCTGGCTGTTCGTAAATAGGTTCGGCTGGGGCAGGGCCAGCGTGGAGGGTTAAACCTCAGCGAGCCCTCCCTGGGTCCAGCCGAGGCGGCCGGTCACCGCCGCCGGAGAAAGCTGCTCTGTTCTGTCACGGAAGAGCAGGGACCGCAGGGCACTTACCGGAGACTCCGTCTAAGAGCAGTTATCCTCGGTGCACTCTGCCAAAAATGGGGCTGACCAGCTATAAACGGGACGCTGCCGCTCTCCTGGTCCCTCACAGTGACGGTTTTCTGAAACCGGTACAGTCTAAACAAGGGAGTCTGGGGGTTCTTTTTTTTTCTTTTTTTAATGTACTACTTCCGTGCTCGGCCCCATCAGAAAAAATGCCCCAGACCTGGAGACTGAGCCGTGTGCGAGCGGGCAAACGTCGGGGAGAGGCATTGCAAACCCAGCCTGGACCACCAAGTAGGAAACGGCCAGACTGTTCACATCGAAAAGATCCAGTGACCAAGAGATTTCTAGTAAAACCTTGTGTTTGAAACTAAAAGGCCTGTAGGAACGAACCTTCCCCAAATCGAGTCTGAGCCTGGGCTTGCTTGATTGGCACGCACACGCACCGTGCACACACGCGCAGGCACGCCGGGCCCGCGGGTATGTGCGCAGCCTGGGTGGGGCCGGCAGGCCTCTCCTTGCTCACGTCTGAGGTTCGTCCTGAGGGTCTGGCGTCCATTTTGTCAGACCTAAAGCTCATGTTGCCTTTACAACCTGAGTTAAGGATGGGAGTTTAAAGATTTTCTTCCTTAATTTTTAAGTAATCTGTACACCCCACCTGGGACTTGAACTCCTGACCCCGAGAGTCGCACGCTCCACCAACTGAGCTGGCCAGGGGACCCAAAGAGTGGGAGGCTTTAGAAGGAGAAATTAAGAGATGTATTTTCCAATCCATTTGATTCTCAAAGGTCCAAGAACCTTCTGGGCATCCTGGCCCGCCACTGATTTTAATGAGCACACTCGTACCTTCTTCACCTTCCCACTAAACCCTCACACTGCAACGACCTCAAAAGTGTGAAAAAGCTCCAGCAGAAATAGCGACGTAGCCACAGGGACCCTGAGCACTTGTTCCTCCACGTTTCTGGGTCTTCTCGTTTTTACGATGGTTTTGTGTGGTCTGCACGTTCGACACGGTGCAGGAGGCAGCCCGTGATCAAGGGCTACCCCAGTGGCCTTGGGCGTGGCCCGTCAAACCCAGGCTCCCCCTTTGTTTTTTGGGGGGCCGTGTGGACCTCACTCTGTTCAGCCCGTACAGGAACCAGGAGCAGCCAGCTCTGCTCTGGGGGCGGACATGGAAACACCTGCTGGGTGCCCGGGCGGGCTGCCAGCTCCCTTCTGCACACACCCCCCACCTCCCAACCCCTCAGCTCTGGGGTTTCGGGACAAGGCCACCGACTGACAGAATATGAGCTTCCAGCTGACCCTGTGCTGGGCAGGCAAGCCTTTGCAAGGAACGGTGACGTCTTCCCACGTCTGGTGCAAGGAAAAAGATTTTTGTTTTCTGCACTGTCATTCGTTTTCAATTTTGCTTCATGTCATACACTGTAGAAACTCATAGGGAGCATTTTAGAACCCAGCCCCGCACACGTTGTTCCGCTGACTTTTCTCTGTGCAGAAATACTTTATTGAGAATTCCGATGCACTTTGTAAACACGCTTAGTTCCATGTTTCACTGACTTCCGACAACCTTGGAGCGCGTACAGTGCATTTGAAATCGGTGCTTTGTTTTGATTTAGGGCTGGGTGACAAAATAATCTATGCTTGTTGTTAATTCTCCTAAACTGTGGCCTAAAATCTACACAACAGAGCTGCTTGTACACACACACCTATTCATACAAAGGAAGGACTTGTCTCCACTGTGGTTTCTCGGCAACGGACAGAGCCAAAAGGCCCTGTGGACGCTGGAGACGGTAGTTGTGTTACGTTCCAGTATGATATCTAGGGTGTAAGAAACTTGGGGCATAAATGGCAGAACCCAAACATTTTAGCAAGGAATCTAGGTCCTCCCATCGCCACCAAGCAGCCCAGGTGACTGGAGCCTTAGACGGAGCAGTGAGACAGGCTGGTGACAGAGGCTGCGGGTTCCTGCTGGGAGAGGGGAAGTGTGGAAATGTAAGAACTGCTTTTAAAGCTCTGATTAATCCCTTGGTATTGAACAGAAAAATAAATCTTTGAAAATATGTGTGTAATTTTGATTCTCTTTGTCCAAAGAGGCTACAGTCGCAAAGCGATGTCACAGACGCGGTCTGTTGGTTGGGGCTTAGGACTTCGTCTGCAAAACCGGAGACAGGAGTCGTAGTGTGTAACCATAATTTCCGTCTCTTTTTATTTCAGAAAAGTAAACAAGAGCTACAGGGGCCGTTCTTGTCCAATAATTGTTCACTGCAGGCAAGTACCACTCCTCACGCGAATTACCCCGTGCTCGCTACCTGAGAAGGAGCCACAGTTACATTCCCACGCTGAGCGTTCTCACTGCCTCACACGCAGCTGATGGCCCTGCTGAAGGAGACCCAGGCTGTGGATGGAAGGTCCAGGCTGCGCGGCTGCGTGTGCCCCGCTGGGCTGGTCCACCCGCCTGGGCCGCCGCCACACACGCGTGTCCTCACACCTGTTTGTTCTCAGGCCCGCACGCTGCCCGCACACAAACACCGTGGGGTGGTGTTTTTCATCCGTGGCCTTGTCTCAGCCACCAGCTCACTTAGCTGAGGTTTGGAACCGAGAGGCTGGGACATGCTCGGGGCCCGTCAGGAGCCGGGGCAGAGTTGGGAATTAGCACAGGGTTGGCCTCACCCAGCTTAGGATGCGAGTCTGGCCATGGGGTAAAATCCAGGGGCTCCTCAACCCCGTTGCACCCACACAGACAAGCAGAGGTCCCACCAGAAGCTCCGTGTCACGGTGCCCTCTCATCTGGGCTTCACACCCACCTCGTTGGGGCAGAAAACCGTGCTCCAATTTGTGGAAGTGTCTTACAGCACGTTCCCTTCTGCTGGGATAGAAAGCAGCTCTCCAAGGATCAGACACCCAGTCTGTCCATGCGGTCAAGAAGAGTATGTGTGTGTGCGTGTGTAAGTGTGCCTGTCTAGTGTGTGTCTCTGTGTGTGTGTCGGGTGTGTGCCTGTGAGTGTGTTTGTCAGGTGTGTGCATGTCCCTGTGAGACGTGTGTCTGTGTAGGAGTGTGCCTGTTGTGTGCGTCTCTGTGTGTCTGTCGGGTGCCTTCCTCTGTGTGTGTGTCTGTGTGTGTGTGTTGGGTGTGTGCCTGAGTGTGTCTGTGCCAGCGCATATGGCATGTCCCTGCGTGTGTCCATGTGCATCCCTGGGGTCTGTGACGAGGACCCAAGCTGGCCGTGGTCTGGGGCCCTCAGAGAGCAGAGGGAAGAGGCTGGAGGCACAGGTGCCCCACAGCGGCAGCAGTGGCCAGTGTGTGCGGGCGGGTGTCCGAGCAGCCGTGGGAGGGAGGGAGGCCCGTCCAAACCACCTGGGGAGTGGTGTCTCCTGGGGAGCAGCGGGGACGGGGTGGTGAGCGAGCTCCCCACACGCACAGACCCTGCGGGTCCCCGAGGCCCCGCCAGCTCTCCCGGGAGTGTGGTCACGTAATTCCTGATCCTGAAGTGGGCACGACCGCCTCTGCCAGAAGTACGCATGTGACGGTCCCCATCTAGCAGCTGCTTCAGGGGTGGGGACTCATGGCCTCTTGGGCGAGGGGAGACACGCTCTCGTGCCTCACAAAGCAGCCAGCCGCCTTCCCCAGAAAGGGCCTCCCTGCCCTCCGAGGGCTCCTGCCCTCTCCCAGGGACGCTGCAGTCACGGCTGGGGTGACCTTACTCACCGCCAGTGCAAACGCCCTCGGCACGGACACGGCCAGTTGTTTATTCTGACGAAACCCACCACGACTTTGGCCAGAGAGGGAGAAGGGGAGGCAGGAGCAGATCTTTGTGGACACGAGCTCATCCCTCTGCCGCTGACGCTAAGCTCCCACCGGCCTTCCTCCCCTTCCTCCTCCTCTACCCCTCTCCCCAGCTTCCCTCATCCCCTTCCCCCTCCTTCTCCCCTTCCTCCACCCCCGCACTCCCTTCCTCCTCCCTCTCCCTCCTCTTTCTCTTCCCCCCTTTCCCTTTCCTCCTCCACCCCCACCCCTCCTCTTCCTCTTTCCTCTCCTCCCCCTCCTCTCTCCTTTCTCCTCCCCTTCTCTGCCCTCTCCCCCTCCTCCCCTTCCTCTCTATCCTCCCCCTTCTCCCTCTCCCCCCCTTTTCCTCCCCCTCCCATCCCGTTACTCTTCACCCGACTTTCTTCGACTTTCTTCGTCTTTCTCTCCAAGTCAAGCCTCCCTCTCCCCTCGTGAGCCTCACTCAGACGCGGAGGGAAACACGCTGTCCCTGGCTTCGGTGGGCGTGGGGGTCCCGTGGCCGGTGCTGTTCTCACATCTCCCCTTCCGTTGGCAGCGACGGCGCGGGCAGGAGCGGCACCTACGTCCTGATCGACATGGTTCTCAACAAGATGGCCAAAGGTGAGGCGGGCAGCGCGGCTGCTTTGTGGCGGTGAGCCGGGACCGCGTTGCCATGGCAACCTGGGGGACCCCTCTCCCCAGCCTGGCTCCCTTCCCTGAGTCACGTGAAAGCCGTCCGCGCACGCAGGGTGTTTCTCGGGCTGGTGCCTGTGGCCAGGGCGGCGCTCGGCCCGGCGCGGGGTGCGGGTAAGCAGCAGCCGCAGCCTGGGGCCCGGGGAGCCTCCCTGCGGAGGCCAAGCCAGCCGCGGGCTCAGCTGCCGGAGCGGCCCCAGTGTCGTCCACGTCCTTTATGCAAGCCTCCCTGCTGTCACAGCTGGGTGAGCGGGAGCCGTGGCCTTCCCGCCTCGGCCCTCGCACTCTGGTCCGCACACTTCACCACTGCAGCACCCGACCCCGGGAGGAGGAGGCTCGGGTCCGGCACGGGCGGCCCACCTGGCCGCGAGCGGCTTGGCAAGGGCAGAGCTTAGCCCCCCGCCCCCTGGGCCCCCCAGAGGTGTGGACGCTGAGCTGCTCTGGTCGCTGGGACGTGCTCTCCAGACCGAAGCCGGGGGACGTCTCTTCAGAGACCAGGGAGCACACCCCACAGCCACTGTTGGGGAAGGACACACCTGGGACCCAGCTCTTGGAGAGTCCTGGCGAGTTCCCTCAGCGACTCAGGAAACTGCTCTTCCCATCATGCCCGTCCGCGTCCCACGGGACCTGGAAGGAGGGCCCGCCGAGGTGGGGACACCGCCATCCCTCTCACCCTAGAACAGAACGTTCCCTTGGTCTGTACACACACGTGCACACACCTGCGTGTTCTCAGCGACAGGCCCCAGCCTTCCAGGACACCGTCCTTCATCGTTTGTCCAGAAGCAGGAGCAGGTCCTGATTACAGAGATGATCTTCAGCGCGTGCTCCCACAGATGCCAGCGAGCCCAGACTAAGCACTTTCCTTACCCCACTTTCTTCTGGTGAAAAGGGAGGAGAAAAGCGGCAGCAGACCAAGGATGTGGTTGTGAGCCCTGTTCCACACGTAAGGACCAGCACGCCTGAGTGACGGATGCACGGAACTGGTGACCAGAGGGTCAGCAGCAGATCCGGGCTGGGCACCCCAGCCCTCCTTGTCGGCAGCCCCCGGGCCAGTCACCGCGGAGAGCAGGAAATGGGCTTTGCACCATCAAATCCTATTTTAAGCACCCAAATGAGGGAAGTGTCGGCGACGTGCAAACACAGGAGCCAAAGCAGACAGACAGACAGTCTGGTGCCGGTTTTAATGACGTATTTTGGGTTTCGGTCCTAACACAGCCCTAACTTCTTTAGTTAAAAGTTTCCTGACCCTCGATGGCACTCTGGCTTCCGAGGACATCTTTTCATTTGCAAATCTGCAAGTCCTGGGAGCTCAGAGCTCTCAAGAGAATTGACCTTTCTCCCCTCACGCCAGCCCTCCTCCTCTGCCTGTCGCACATGGGCTGTTTCCCTGCGGATGAACCAGGTTCCCTCCGAAGGCTGCACACGGTTGTTGCCTTTTGACGTGACGCTGTGTGGGTGAGTCAAGGCGACAGGGGAAACACGGGGCCCATTTGCGTCCGACAGGAGCCCGGCTCACCCACAGAGAGTGGACGGACGTCCCCGCTCTCAGCCGTGGGTCACGGGGGTGTCCTAGATTTTCAGAGGCACAGGCCGGCTTCACCGGAGCAGGGGCTGAAGAATGTCGCAGTCCCGGGAGCCGGCCAGGGCGGGGCGGACTTCATTGTCCGAGCTCCACCGGTCCGAGGGCCTCCGCAGGGCATGGGCCCGCCCCCGAGGGCCTCCGCCGCTGCACGGCCCACAGCTCCCCCTGCGGCGCTCGAGCCGTCAACAATGCAGCCCAGCAGAGCAGAACAGGCCAGCGGAGGAGGGCCGCCTTCGGGCCCTTCTGTTCTTCACCTGCTCCTTCTGCTGGGGTGCGGGGTGCATGCGGAGTGAAATCCTCTGACCTGGGGCCCAGGCCTGGGTCTCAGGAGAGATCAAAGGGCAGGGCGGCCCCTCGAGGCAGAGGTAGGTCTTTCCCAGGCCGCCACACTGCGTGGCCGCCTGGGGTTTTGTTCTGGGCTCAAGGCTCGCGGGGCGGTGCGGCCCGGGCTGCCTTTGTCTGGCCTGGGAAGCTGCAGGCCGAGCCCAGACCCTGAGGTCTTTGGACGATCAAAGGCCCCGAGGCTGGACACGAAACCTTTCTTCCCGTTTCCTTTTCTTAGAAGGAATGAATCGCATGAGGACCAAAGAAAGCCCTTGCGACGCGTCCCCCGCGGCCTCCGGCGCCCCAGGCCCACGCGCGGCACCCACACCCGCGCCCACAGACTCGGGCTCCCGCGGATTAGGGCCGCGTCCTATTGGGGCCTCGGAGAACGCACGAGGCATCCTTCCAGCCCTTTCTCCACCGCCGGCTCAGTGGCAGGCGGACGACCGGGCAGCCGGAAAGCAAAGCTCTCTGCGCCACGGTCGAAGCCTCCGCATGTTCCGCACGTTCCTCTGCGGCCCTGACCATGCTTGTCACTCGTCGTCGTCACTAGCCTGGTCGGGGCGCGTTTCCGGAGCGCGGGGCTCCTCGGGGAGCGGGGCTCAGGGGGCCGGGACGTGCTTGCCGTCAACGTGTTTGCGCCTTGTGCGTGTGTGTCCGTGCCGTCTCTTCGGCCAGGCTGAGGGGCGGAGGGTCACCCCGAGGCGGCGGCTGCTGGCCGGCCACGTCACTCGCGGGGGGCCACCGCAGACACCCGCCTGCCGCACCCAACTGGGCTGCCCCAGGGACCGCACCGCACGTGCACATCACGTGCCCCGCAGGCCTACAGGGGCGCAGACGGGCTGCGAAAGTGACCACACCGCGGGGACGTGCGTGGGTCTCTGTGCCCACGGGGTCCGGCCCCTCCTTCTGTGTCAGCGGCCTGGCCTGCTTCCTGTTTTCTGTCACACGGTGCCCCTCAGGCGACAGCCGCCTGTAGGAAGGAATGTGTCCTCTCCATCCCGTTCGCTGTCCCTAAATCTCACGGAGCCACGGGCCTCTTGCCTGGGACCACGCGGCATGTGCCCTCCTGTGACAGGATCGCTCACTTGGCGTCCCCTGGCTCACCTGTGGCGCAGGTGGCGGGATCGCACTCGGTCGTGGGCACAGGCCACCCTCCGTCGACCGTCACCCCCGATGGACGGACACTCGGGGCACGTCCAGCCTGCGCGTCATGCTGCCGCGAACGTGGGCCTGCAAACTTGGCTCTGAGCTCTGGCTCCCCCTCTTCTGGGTGCCGACCCCGGGGGCAGCGGCCGGACCACATGCCCATGCCAGGGCTGATGTCCGAGAACGTGCCCGCTCACCCTCCTGCCGAGAGCACGTGAGGGCTCTCGTCACACCACGTCTTCTCCACATTTGCTATTGTCTGTGGTTTGGGGAGTCGCCGTCCCAAGTGTGCAAAGTGGTCTCGTGGTTTTGATTTGCATTTTCCTAAGGAGTGTGACATCTTTGCACGTTTGCTTGCTCTTTGGGTATTTTCTTCGGAGAAACGTCTCGTCAAGCCCTTTGCCCAGTTTTTAACTGGGCTGTTCGATTTTGTCGTTATTGAGTTCGGAGATTCTTTATATATTGTGAGATCAATCCCCTATCAGATACGTGATTTGCGAATATTTTGCCCCACAGAAGGGGGAAATTCTGTGGGAGAAAATATTTTCCTTCTCTCAGTGGTGTCCTTGGTGCACAAAAGCATTTCGGTTTTATTTTTTTATTTTTATGATGCCCCATTTGTCTGTTCTTCCTAGTGTTGCCTTTAGTGTCCTACCCGGACGATCTTTTGCCAAAGCCAAGGTCATGAAGATTTTGCCCACATGAATCACTCTATTGTACTTTTGAAACTAGTGTAACACTACATGTTTACTACACTAGAAGTAAAATCTAAAACTCAATAAAACCAAAAAACAAGAATAAATAAAAGCAGCAACATGACTGTCAAAATGTTAGAAAACGTACAAAGCGAAAAGGGCAAGTCTTCCCACCTCTTTGCCTTTCTGTGCAGATGTGATGACTCTTAACTCTTCAGTGGGCATCATTTTAAGACTTTGTGTATGGCCACACGCAATTTTTATTTCTTTAGCTGATTGCAGCTATGTTTTCCCTAGAGTAATACATAATCAATGTGGAAAACACAGAGAAGTTTTTACAGACCTCTCCCCAACCTTGTCTCTTATATACTTACATTTCAAGTGATGTCCTATGAGGGCTCAGCGGACGGTAACGTGTTTACTACCATTTCTCAGGTAAAGACATTCGGACCTGACTCACCCAGGGTCACAGAGCTGTCAGCGACCTTGCTGGGATGTAACCTCACAGCCCGTGTCCTTGATAACGATGCCATACCATTGCCTCTTCCAAGCCAACAAACAGACCACCCTGTTTAAAGTCTGCAGTGAATGGTCCGGTATATAGGAAATGGACGTCAAACCCGCCGTGTTCTCACCTTACACCTGTTAGGGTGCCTATTATCTAAAAAAATAAAAAAGAAAGAAAGAAAATACAAGACCCCCCCCCAATGTATTCCTGTAAGAGATGCTAACTTTTAACAGCAGGTCAAATTCAGGGCTGCTGGGGGCTCAGTCGGTAAAGAGTCCGACTCTTGATGTCAGCTCAGGTCGTGATCTCTGGGTTACAAGCTCGAGCTCTACCCTCAGTGGGGAATCTGCTTCAGATTCTTTCTCTCCCTAGAATCCTCCCCCGGTCCCTCTAAATTGCTAAAATAAATTTTAAAATCTTCTTTAAAAAAGCAGCACGTTGGGGCACCTGGGTGGCTCAGTTGGTGAAGCCACTGCCTTCGACTCAGGTCATGATCCCAGAGTCCCAGGATCGAGTCCCACATCGGGCTCCCTGCTCAGTGGGGAACCTGCTTCTCCCTCTGACCTTCTCCCCTCCCATGCTCTCTCTCTCTCTCTCTCTCTCAAATAAATAAATATATTAATCTTTAAAAAAAAAAAAAAAAAAAAAACCAAACCAGCAGGTCTTAGCA